CTCCCCCCCCCAACAACTAGAATTGACCATGTATTTTACACATTAATCTAATTTGCTGAGTAACTAAGGACATAAAAATGCTGTAAGCCAAATAAATTTATTGAATTTGATGCTTTTTCAAATTGTTTAGACTAATAGGCAATAAGAATTATGTATTCCACGCATGTTTGCACATAGAGCAAACAAGTATATTACAGCATGCTCTGACGTGTATTTAATGATACAATTCTGTTATGTTCTGAAGAAGGAAACAACCCAAATGTCCACGTTGCCATTTCCTTTGTTCTGTCATGTGTTATGTTCTGTCATGGATTAAAAGATGCCCATCATAAGGCATAAAGCTCAGTATCCACATGCAAGTTAATGTTAAGCATGTATTCTGCAGAGCCCTACAGATTGTCTTTGAAAACAAATGCAGAATCACAGCAGTCAGTAATCTGAGTCTTCACAACGTTCTTACCCTTCCCTCACTATCACCATTGCTTCATTCTTCCCCCCTCGCTCCCAGTCTCATTCGGTGCTTTCCAAGTTAACTGAAACAAGAAAAGTGGTCCCATAGCAGGGGAAGAGTGGAATTTAAGTATCACAAAAAACCTGACGCTGCTAAGTAAACACTTCAGGCATGCATTACCCAGCATAGTTCTGGGTAAACCATTACCCAGCCAATTAAGAATGTAATTGGGTTAACCAAACATTGGGATAACTGCCCAAAGAAACGGAGATAGTTAGCCTGTGTTAACTGGACTGCTATTAGTATTCCAGCCTCCTCGGGTATTTCTACATGGAGTCATATTTAACAACTCGTCTTGTCTAGCACCTTAAAAGGAAGGTAACAGCTCTTAATCTGATAAAGAACCTTCCTTGCTCCATATTTTAAAGATAATCTTTTTATAGCTGTAAATGTGGGCATGAATTCTTAAGAGTTCTCAAGAAGCTTCCTATTAATCGGTCCCTTGGATTTTCTGTTTTACAGGAACCATGACGTTGAATTTACGTGTCAGGTAAGCATCAGGCGTGCTCTTAGCAAGCTGTTCCCTGATACGTAGTGTTAATAACAGCGGTGTGGATCTTCAAGCAAATTAAGCCAAGCCAGTTTAAATGAAGGATGCTGGTCTTTGTTAGTTAACGATTCCTGCTTGTTAATAACAGTCAGAGCCTGAAACCTACTGCTAGGCATGTATTTGCAAATGTGAAAATATTGAAAGGAAATTTTAATAATTTGCATTATTCCAGTATGAGAGTCAAATTTTGAGTCTTTCCTGTTGTGCCAATAGTGGCTTCATTGTAAAACAAACTCGCACAGCTACGTGTATTTCCATTACGCGTTTTTTGCAAAGGATCTTTCACTCTTGCCAATAAAGCTGCTGTTTAGCAACATGTGCTGCCATGCATCGCAAGAAGTGAGGAATACTGCCTCTCACAGAGAGGAGAGGAACGTAAGTTGACAGCACAGGCTTCCTACGTCTACAGAAAGCTCACTGTTGTGAATCGGGCTGTGATAGAATCATCAGTACCTATGTTATTTTTAAAGGCATTGTGTATGTGGCAGAAATACTTGCCTAGGATTAAATTACATGGAGCAATGCCACGTAATCACTGGCAGTTCTCCTGTGACACTCTGGTCATCTTTGGTTTACTCACAGTCTGTTCTTCGTCTAGAAACAGGAGATTTGCTCCTGTCATAAACTGCTGGGAGTTCTGTTTTAGCGTCAGCTGTTATTTCTTGAGAGAGGATTGTTTTGAATACTGCTTTTAAAATAAATGTTAAACTCAATGATTTGAATATATGCTTAATGTATCACTTAATCTGTTTTTATATGCCACACATATATAAGACTTAGGAAATTTTCTGGATACACTTTGATCTATTTTCATTCTTATTTGCCTTGTACGAAACATGTTTTTCATAGTAGAGCTGTGTAATTAATGAAGAAACCACATTATGATCTACTGGGCAAAATTCTTAATCAAGACGTCTCCCCTTTCCTCCCTTCTTTGCTTAGACTGAAGATATTGAAGATTTAATTCCCAAAGGCCTGTCTGAGGCAACAAAGCAGCAGATTCGTTATCTCCTCCAGGTATGTGAGTGGGGTGGAGGGGGGGTGTGGAAGCCTATAGTAACTTGAAACAATAGAAGTTGGCTGACACGTACTGGGGATTTTGTACATAGCATGCTTGACTCTCTATTCTACTTACTCCTTTTTTTCCAGTGTAAAGGGTATGGACTCTTACAGGTGGCTCCAAGTGACATGTTGTGGAGTCATGTAGGAACCAAGGAACCACAACCTTCGTTCCACAGGCTACTTGTGTATTTTAAATTGAGCTTTGCTGATGCTTTCTTACAGCTTTTCTGGAAATCATCTTGGCTTTTGACCAGTTACAGATTTGTTTGTGGTGGTCTCCTGCTTTTGGCTGGGATAGAGTTAATTTTCTTCACAGTAGCTAGGATGGGGTTGTGTTTTGGATTTGTGCTGAAAACAGTGTTGATAACACAGGGATGTTTTAGTTATTGCTGAGCAGTGCTGACACAGGGTCAAGGCCTTTTCTGCCTCTCACCCCATCCCACCAGCGAGCAGGCTGGCGGGGCACAAGAAGCTGGGAGGGGACACGGCCGGGACAGCTGATCCCAGCTGACCAAAGGGATATTCCACACCATATGGCGTCATGCTCAGCATATAAAGCTGGGGGAAGAAGGGGGAAGGGGGGGGGGACATTTGGAGTGATGGCGTTTGTCTTCCCAAGTCACCGTTACGCGTGATGGAGCCCTGCTTTCCTGGGGATGGCTGAACACCTGCCTGCCGATGGGAAGCAGGGAATGAATTCCTGGTTTTGCTTTGCTTGCGTGCACGGCTTTTGCTTTACCTGTGAAACTGTTCTTATCTCAACCCACGAGTTTTCTCACTTTTACCCTTCTGATTCTCTCCCCCCTCCCACCTGGGGGCAGTGAGCGAGCGGCTGTGTGTGGCTCAGTTGCCGGCTGGGGTTAAACCACGACAGTTGTATATTAATGCTTTACTTTAAAAGCTAAAGGCAAATAATAGGTGCTTTACTGAATGTTGAATTGGATCTCAGTTACCAAGTACACATAATGCTTATAGCTTAGGTCTCACCTTTCACAAATGTTCTGGTTAAAAACCTCTAATCTAGCACTATGTTCTGAGGCATGCTTATGACATTCGGTAACAAAACATAACCATTTCTGTTGTGGTCCCATTTATAAAGGCTTTTGTGTTTCTTCTGATCTTGTTCTTTAGCTACCTAACCATCTCAACCCACCTTTTCAATCACCAGCCCCATGGGTTTGGCTGCAAGGCAGTCGGACAAGAATGCAAGGTTCAGATAATGGTGGTTCATTTTGTCGCTTCCTAGCACTGCAATGCTCTCTGCAGTGTGTTTTTTAGAAAAAGACTTGACCTCTTTATGAAGTGCTTTGAAGATAGCCGGCTGGAATCGGCCCCTGCCTTTGGTAAAACATTAAAAACAGTGCTGTAGCATGAATCCCACTGTCGACTCCAGAACCATTTGACATGTAGGTATGTTAGAACGGGATCCAAAACAACCCCCGCTGCTCAGCAAGTGTGTTTGGATCTGGTCTCCCCGAGGTGGGGGTAAGGTGATCCCACCCGGGAGCTGCAGCTTAGAATCGCTTCCTGGTAAAAAATACACTTGATTGAAGTTGTGAATGAGCAACCTGGTCCGACTTCACCGCTGATCCTGCTTTAAGCAGGAGGGCTGGACAAGGTGACCTCCCAGGTCCCTTCCAACTTGAATTATTCTGCGATTCTTTTACAATGGAGACTGACACCAAAATGTTTCATGACCTTGTTAGAACGCCGTCCCAGGAAGCCGGTTCAGCTCAGTCTGTGTGAAAGAGCTGAAACACGTATTTCCTGTTTTCTGTAAGTCCGGCTGGTTTTACATTCTCACACCTATGCTTAGAAAAAATGCAGCTAAAATGCATTTTGGGGAACCAGATTTTGTCAGCATACATACAAAGTGTGCTCTCAGACTACAGACCCCTCAGGCCTTTTGGACAGAGTTATGTGTGGTATGTTTTTACATCCTAGGAGAATTCTGAGAAAGCTGTCAAACTGCTCAGGTAAGGACTCTGCTGGGTATGCCCAGAGGCTCAGCTCTAAGAGCACGGAGAATTTCGCTGTAGAAGTACATGACACCTATGGAATTTAGCAAGCTCTAGCACTAGGTAATTGCTGAGTGGGGATTCACTTATGTTTTTATAGTCTAAAGTCAACCATTTTGACTTAACTCCTCCTTTTAATCTACTCTTACAGTAGATTTCAAAATAGAACCAACAAAACCAGAGGTCAGAACTGAAATTCCACTTTAATTAAAAAACAAACAGGTGAGTTACACTAGAAATGTTTTTGAAGCCTCAGTCACATTAATAGCACCAGTGGGGATAAAAAATAGGACAAGGGCTAATCACCGTATTGATGGAGAGCCTGATCGCTTTCTTCAGTTGGAACAATCAACAAATAAAGTTAAGGGAAAGTGTCAGAGGACGAGAAACAGAGAGGAGGATTTCATTTTACTCGAGAGAGTAAAAAATACATCTTTGACATAGAATGAATATTCAGCCCTTCCAGATGAGTCAAAGGTTTGAGGAGTTGTTTTGTGTGTTCTTTCAAAGTCAGTTTTTCTCCTTTCAAATATTAGAAATGTATCATGAAATGCAACAGTTTGTGTTTGAACGTGAATCAGTACACAGCCGTGAACGTGCATTAAGAGAAAAAAAGAGCGCGCGTTAGGCTATTGTGCATTACTGCCTTTCTTTTTCATCCAGTTGACTCCTTTAATCTTTGGGATTTTTTTCCTTTTAAAGGGATGAGTTGATTGTATGGCGCTTTTTTTAATTTAAATTTTTTAGAATTTTAATTAAATTCTCTTGCCCTTGGGCTGAAAGCGTGCTTTGCCAGATCTCAAAAGACGATGACTCAGTCATCTGTGGCTTCTCAGGTAGGGTAGTTCGTTCTTTAAATCAGTGTAAGGCACGAAGTGCTGAATGCTCAAAAAATGACTGTGCAATAACCACATTTATTTTTCCCTTTATTGGTGTGCAGATGCAGTTCTTTACTCTCTTGTTCCTTCTTTTTTAAAAATGTTATCCTGTGTTACAAGGCAATAATGAAAAAGCTATGCCATTTGCAGAACAAAGTGCATGAAAATGTGTTTCTCTGTAGAAACTGTGGGCACTTCAAAGAATGACGTGCAGTAGTTGTAAGTTATTTTAGCTGTATAGCAGTTTTCTGTTCTCCCCATTGCCAAGCGCACTGTAAACAAAGCACACGGATTAATCAGACGTACACATTTTCCTTTTTTCCCCCTCCTAGATGAGAGTGACGTCAGATAAATCTTTGCGACTCGTGCTTTCCACGTTCAAAAATTTACGTGAAGAGCTTTGCCATTTGCAGGATGACTTGGGGGTAAGCCGTACTGCGCACTTCCCGTGGCCTCACCCATTTGTTTTTACCCGTCAGCGGGAAGTCTGTTACGATGACATTTAAATTGTGAAGTCCAGGTGCTTTACTGGCAGCGGCTGGTTTATTAATGGACTTGCAAGGCTCATACAGTGGCCGAGGTTAGATTTCTTTCCAGCAGTGGTCTTCAGGTGTTCTATTTGTTGAAGCCTAAAACCCCAAATACTTTCAAAAGAAGACAAGACCCTGCCGAGTGAAGTTAGATTGAAAGCTCTGAACTGGTACATACAGCGCATGTATATCTACGTTGGTGTAAATGTATGGAACTGCCTTTTTACTTTAACATGGACAGGAGTATACACCGGGTGCCTGTTTACTAGCGCTGTTCCAGGCACTGGGAGACCTCGGTTCCATTCCCTCCTGACAAAGTTGCATTTCCCGCTTCGCAGGAAAGCTGTTGTCAGCTGGTGGCTCTGACAACTCAGTGGTTCCCCAGGGTACCGGCAGCCCCGTTGGGAAGCTGGAGCTCTGCAGCTGCCGATACGGACAGCAGATAATTGCTGTTAGGAAAGCAGAAACATTCCCACACCAGCCCAAGTACTCGGCCCCGCTGGAAACTTCACAGCATTCTCGTGTAAAATGCAAAGTTTAGGGAGGGGGAGAGGGAGTTTTCACTGTCACCTTTAACACAGAACAAGGAGTCTGTGCAGTGAATTGGTCTTAGTTTGGGGGTTTTTGTTGGTTTCTGTTTAGTAACTACGAATAATTCTTTCTGGGATAGACTGAAGAGCAGCGTCCAGGATCCCAGGGCTTACCACACAACACAAAGCCACAGATACTACAGTGACAGGCAACTGTGTCTATGTAGTTAAAACCCACAGTTTCAGGAAAATTGAGTATTTTCTCAGTTCTAAAACATCACTTACTAATTACTCAGCATGTTGCACTTGGAATATGGGGAAAGTTTACTGAAAAATGGCAGCTATTGACTGTAAACACTTTTGTCTTACAGAAGTTAGAAACTGACAGTGTCTTACTTAAGAAGGATTTGGCTTTTAAAGATTCTCAAGTAAAAGAGTATGAAACTATGTTGACTTCTCTGAGAGAAAATAATCGTCAGCAGCAGGTAAATCTAAAAACATATTTTCAGTGTAATTACAGTCAGCCAAAAACTAGCCAGTACGCTGACTCTGGAGTATTCTGGGTACAATGTTTCTGTGGTGTACGTTTCTGTGTGTGATCCAGATACTCCCGTAAGGGACACCGTGCATTCATTCCACTTCTGTGCTTTCCAGCAAGGACTCAGGGAGAGCACTGCGAAATGTCGCTCTCTGGAAGAACAGCTCCTCTCTCTTCGGCTCAGCGAGGGAGAAAAGGATTGTCACCTAAAGGAACTGGAGTACTGCAAGCGTGCCTTGGAGCAAGAGATCCAGAGCCTTAGACTACAGGTAACAGGCTCACTTGTTCCGTGTCCAGCAGCTGCTATTCGCAGATACAGATGCATTAACGTATGAAAATGATGAAAATTCTCTTTTTAAAATAAAATTATTTAATTTTCTGTAGAGCTGCTCTAATCCAACACTACAGACCACCACAGATGAACTCTCTAGCCGTTACGTAGAGATGATCAATAACTTGAGAGAGGATAAAGATCGCGAGATCCGCAGTCTTAGGGTACGTTGTTTTAACTTGCCATGTGTGTGTATCCCTCAGCTTTGTACGACTGCAGGTAAACAGCTGCTTATTTAATTAAGGATCAGGAAAGATCTACCGTATGTACTTTTTAGATATCTCTTGGTTCTGCAATTACTTTGTACATAGACACTAATGATGGCTCAGAAACTCTTACGGTAGAACATAAAACTGATTTAAAAAAAATACAGATCCTTAGATGTAGAATTGGGGATTAATCAGAGTAGCAGTCTTTCCTAAAGGGCTAATTTGTGTGTCCCGATAAAGTAAGAAACTAGCCAAAAGACCCCCAACAGAAAATTAAGGTAAGTCAGTCCCAGTCAAAACTACATATCAGAAACATCTCTCGTTGAAAGCGCTGTAGTAATATTTTGCCACCCTGGAAGCCAATTCAACTTGTTCAGTGATGTATTAATTAGCTTTATCCGGGTACAAACCTATTAAATTGGACTGAATTCCACCGTATCAATTAGCACTTTCTGAATTTACTGTGCAGCTCAACATTCTTACTTGAAAATCCTGGGGGTTTGTGCATGTCCACGTATGTATGTATGTCCACAGCATTTTTTAAATTACACTAATTCAAGTCTTACTGTTCATAATGTAATGAAAAAAATACACCTGGAGTCCTAGATACACACTGAGAGGTCACCTGCAAGGAGCAGCGAACACCTAACCGTTCCTTAACGCGTGTTTTACAGTCTCAGTTATGCCAATTCCAGCAAGACATATCAAGGAGAGAAGGAAGTAACAGCGACTTGCAAATAAGGTTGCATGAACTGACGTCAATGTTGGAGGAGAAAGACGCTTGTATTAAACAGCAGCAAGAGGTAAAATGCTACAACTTATTTCTCTTCTAAGAATTTTTATGTTGAAGCCTCCACTTACTGTATGGGTGGAAACTTGCTAGGAAGTCGCTGGTACTCTCCTGGCTCAGGAATCAGGGTTAGGAGTTCTTTTAACTGAATGCTGTTCCTCTGCCAGTCTTTTGGAAGGACAGACCTTCTGGGACTGCTCTTTGAGAGGAATTTCTGCAAATATTTTGTTGTGACTTTAGTGAACTAACACTTCGGAACACATTATTTCATTTGAATGTTTACTTTTGGTTTTCTCAGGACCTCTTCAGATTGAAGCATGAGAAATTATCAGGCAGGCAGTCCCCCGGTGTAACAGCTATCATCACTAAGAAGTAATGTAGTTACTCGCCTTTCTTAAAAATACATCCTTTTGATCTTCCATTGTATAGCCTCTATTAACCACGTTATTCCTGCAAATGTCTTAATACTGCCTGTTCAACTTAAAGGGGAAAAAGTCGAGATAGGCTTTCCTATCCGGGGAGGATTCAGCACTAAGCATGGTAATGGCAGTTGGAGGGGTGGCCAGCACGTTGACGTGACATTTAAAAGGCTGTATTAGCTTTGTAGTTACTAGTGAAAAATCTTTGGGGATTAGTGACTGGAAGGACGATGTGGCAAGATGAGAGTCAGCGATCTGGATACAGGTGTGCAGATTTCGGTTTACAGGTTTGCAACTCTCTCTAATACAGGTACAGGAATCAGTATCCCATTCTGGGCCTCCTGTCTGATGACTACAAGGTTACATCACCCGTCAATAAATCGCAAACTATTTTAATTGAGAGGACTGGAGAGATATGGAAACATGTAAGTTTACCCAGAGGTTGACTATGAAGTCTCTGAAATGCCCAAGTACGCAGTTTAACTTCAAAGAAAGCATTAGCCAAAATGGACATCTGAGGGAAAGCCACAGTGTTAATTTAACTTGGCTGCAAAAAGTGAGGCGACCGACTGAAGTCAAGGAACTGCAGTGTGTGTTGCAAGAAGGCAGTAATTGTTGGGTGGGGTATAAATGAAGTAACCTTTCGTTGTTTTCTCTGACACATCACCACCTTTAACAAAACAAGCGGCGTTGCTCTAACACCAGCCTTTGCCCTCACGCACAAGGCAGTCTGCCGGGCGTCCCCGTACTGGGGAGTTAGGTAGGCAGGAACTTGTTCCGGGTTGTGCTCTCAGGTGAAGGAATGTTTTGGGTGGGCAGTATTCCTCTGAATCATCAGTATTAATGACTCCGAACGATTACTAGAACATATTAAGCAAGGACCACGTCCCTGAAACTTACATTGAGACAGGGCAGTGGCTAACCCAGGAAACGCAGAAGAGTGGCGACTTTTTAGTGATTCAAAGTAAAAATAGAAAATGGGACTGCAGAAGCTATTCATGTTACAGGGCGCAAGGTAATGTCGCCGCCTCCGAGTACAAGGTAAGGGCTTGAGAAGGATCAACGTGGCCAGTTCACAACCATGTGTTCGGAGCAATGGGATCCGACGACGCTGTCTGCAGGCAGAGCACGGCAGAGCAGCACAAATAAACAAGTGTTAAGAGAGTGGCTTTGCCGGGGGGACACGACCAAGAAAAAGACAATTACGTGGGCAGCCTGAGTAGGCGAAGGGTAAAACATCTGGCATGTTCTGAAAGGATGTGTTACCTGGAGTAGGGTTAAGGAAATGAAAGGTAGAGGTCACTGGCAAACAGCAGAACTTTATTACTGATCTCTCAAACTCATCCAGTTGCATTGCAACCTAGTGAAATGTCAAGGAATTAACCAAACGGTAATAAAGAAATATTACAAAAATAAAGCCGAAACCCCCTCCCTCCTCGCTTACTTGGGAAGTCAGTCATACTTTCCGTTATAGAGAAGGGAAAAGATGAGCGTACTCTGCATTTGAAGAGATCATTAAATAAATGAGAACTGTTTGTATTTTAAGTAAGTTTCCCAAGCTCTCTATCAATCACTAGTGCAAGTTTCAGCTGAAACAAAGTTACTTTGCTGCAAGATAAACTGGGTAAGTTTGGGAAGTGCCAACTTCACCTTTACTCCAAGCTTCACAAGTACTTCTTCTGTGTTTACGTACTGTCAGGCAAATCGTTCTGTCTGCGTTCATTGTTGAACAGTAATGCTGACAGGTAGCCGAGCAGTGTGGGTTTTGTACTGAAAGCAAGGAGCCTGTACTTGATGCTGTCCGTCAAGCAGGGATTACTTGTCATGCTCAGTCCTTTAGGCTACTCAAATCAAAGTGCTTAAATGTTCCTTTTAACATTGGTCCTAGTTATGTTGGAGAAAACTTCTAGGGCAGAAATTGTACAATACCTACTATTTAGGTATCTGGTAACTCCCCGTTCTTGGTTGTTTTTGTCAGTACAGAAAGAGGTATTGTCCTTGGTTTTGTGTTGACTGGAGACAGTGAATCAGGCCAGCTCGGACATCTGCCCCTCGCTGAACAAAAACTGTTTATGGCTTAATGATACGAGTTTGACCTTGCCAGTACCAGCCACTGTGAGCACTGACATCCTGAGCGCTCGTTAAGGAGGAAAGGCTCGCTGGCCACTTGAGACACTTCAAAAGTCAGGCCGTTAGAGAAAAAGAAATATATAATTACACAAAGTGTCCTTTTATACAGACAGTTTTGTTTTATATACAGAAATAAATTTGTGTATTTTCTTCTAACAAGCTGCTTGTTTCTTTCAGGAATGAAAGAAATCCCTAAGCCGTCAGAGCTGCTCAAAGGAGTTCACGGTGACTAAAATATTGCTTTACTTTCTGCTATTTTGCATCCGAAAAAGGTTCAGTCTGATAGAAAGGGCGGGGAAAACATTCAGGACATGGAAGCATGAAGATGATGGAACACTGTCTCACCCTCACCATAAAAAACGCGGTTACCCGTGTCCATCATCTGCCACTAACATCTGTGTACAACTCTTGTTTGTACTTTTCCACGCACTTACTTTTCGCTCAGGAGAGAGCGGCATGCCGTGCTTTTGTGGACTTCAGTTTTCTTGACATGACTAACTTCTGTTCTTCAGCCAGTCCTGAAGCAATCTAGGAGGCAAAGGAAGAAGTCTGAAACCTTTTCCTCTTTGTACTATTATTAGCCATATTCCTCTGTCCTGTCTACTCATGCTGAGAAGTGAGAGTGATACAGATTTCAGTCGGTCCCATACGTACTGAATGGCTGGTTTCACTCCAGACGGAGTCACAGATGGCGGTTTTATCTACCGCTACCTGTTGAAGATGAAGCAAACCCCAGAAACGACCTCCGTGGGGAACTTTAAAAATACCTCACTGAAAAACGCTTACCTGACATCTGCCTAAGCATGGGAAGCTAAAACACAAAAGAAAATTACTGAACTTACTTACTTACTCCAGAGATGCAACTCCTCAAACTTAGCTACTGAATTGGCCGATACCAGTTAGTTACCTAGTTCAGTGAAACGATTGGGCAGGTGCTTCTTTTGAAGCGTGTTATTGACCTCAGAGTTGATGTATTTTCAGCTGAATCTTTGTAAGGCCCCAAACCAGCCATAAGTATTTGCTGTGCTTGAAAATTTCAAGAACTTGGTATATTTTTATATAGAAAAACTTAGTATGAAAACAGCTCATGGACTGAACTGCATCATCAGACCAATCTTCCATTTACAATTTTTGCTCCTCGCAGGACCACAGAAATCCTCTCAAAATGATTTGGTATTAATAATTAAGTAGTTGTCTAAAAGTAACAGAGTGCGGAGAATCATAGGGGGAATTTTAAACTATGCAGTCGAGAGGTGCTAGCTCTTTATCACGGGGTTCTTTCTTGCTTTGCTTTATTTCTGCAGACATATATTTCTATTCACAATATATATCATCATAGGCAATGTTTAATGGTGAAAGAACGCTGTAGGCTGTGTGTAACTACGCAATAAACCTAAGCGTAACTTTCTGAATCACGTCTGTCTGTACTGGAAACATCTCGTGTCTACCTGATGGGCTGGAGGGGGTTGTTTTAGGTGGTGTGATACTGCCTTTTTTCAGACAACTTGTCCTCTGAATAAATCTTTACAAGGAAAGGAGTAGTGTTAGGTCCCTGCTCTTGCTACTGATGCCAGTCCTCCACTCAGTTAATGCTGGGACGTCAAAGACGACCTCGTGCTCTTTGTAACTGGGAGAAAGAGCCAAGGGTGAAACCTGCTCATCGCACTGCTCTTCGAGGACGTCCAGCCTAAGCCTGGCCTGCAGTTTCAGAAGCCAAGCAAGAGTTTGCACCATCAAACGGCCGTCGCTTTAGCCTAGCTCTACAGAAAGAGGTTTTAATTAGTTAAAAGTTAAGTATCCTCGTTTGAGTGAGGGCCTTGCCCCACTGAAATCAGTAATTATCAGATTCTAAAATAACCCCCTCATTTCTGTAGAGCAGTTAGAGATACAGTAATAAACACACACAGTTAACATACTAATGACACAGAATGGTGCCGAAGTGCATTCTATCCCAATAAATAATTTTAGTCACACTGTCACCTAATGACGTTTCACCTTTGGTGACCTAAACGATAAAAAGAAATAGAAGAGGAAGAACACCACATTGGTTTAATGCCATCACACTGTTACCTGTGCGTAACTGTGCAGCTCTCCCGATGGAGGGAGACACAAAATCATTTGCTGACTGAGGGTGGTCTTTGCCATGATCTCGGCTGGGCTTGACCAGGTGGAAGCACTACCCAAACGGCTCGGAGGAAGCTACGAAGAGCAGAACCGTGAGTGATTCACGGACGCGCTTACTGTGCTCATTTCAGCCACTGCAGGGGTTGTACAGTGGATTTACTAACCACCCCGGCCAGTGACACTAACCACTCTTTCTTTAACTCCGTATGACGTACGACCACGTAATAGCGTCAACGCAAGCAGTAAACGCCCTTAAAGGACAGAAACCTGCAGGCTCTGAATACCGTCAGAGCTGCTGGGCACGGTGTTAGAACTTCATGACAAAGGCCCTGATTAGGCAAATGAGCCGTTGTGCAAATACAGCTGGCATTACGATAAATCTGCAAACACCGTGATCGTCCCCCCGACTTGAAGAGACGGGTAACACACATACGCACATACTGTTCAAAAAAAGCCCAGTTTGCTAATCAGGAAAGACAGATGTCGATACTGCATTGTGTAACAAGGATCAGCCGCTCTAAGGCTTGTTAGAGTATTTGAAGACTTCTGTACACGAAATGCTACAGAGCTGACGGTTGTAACAACACATTTTACTCACAGATAACACGAAGCAATAGATACTTGTCAAAAAGCTGAATTAGACTAGTAGATGAAGCATAATGGCCATCTGGGGCAGGTTTTGTTTTCAAACCAGATTTATTTAAAAAGAAATTTTTTTACAATAAAAGCACGTGTTACTTGCTGCAGTCCCAGCTAGTGCCTCTTTTCTGTTGAACTGAAACTGAGTTACCCAACGTTATTTCTGCTGGAGTTTACAGAAACACATTTTTCCCATTTAGTCGTTTCTGTAAATGCTAGTTATCACCCTAATTATAAACAGTATACTTTTTAGATAATTTTTTGCCTCCATTTCAGGTAGGTCCACTAAAACTTCTACATTTTTTCAGGAACAAGTTAGAAAAATCAAAGACAGCATTTACTTCCTATATTTACGACACTCTACGTACGTACCGCCCTATTAGACCGTCCTTATCAGTAGTGTTATTAAATAAGCCTCGCTGCCTGAACAGATCTGGTAGCATGCAGTTTCCTGTTCTTACTCTGAAGAGCCAGAGAAAATTGTCTTCTGGTTTCTGTCACCGTCTTTTCCACACAACTCAGTATGCAACACGGAACAGCTCCTCCGCCTCAGCTGTAAGATAAAAGCCACGCAGAGCCTTGGTTCAAGAGTTACTGACACCTCTGTCCGAAGAGTCGACGTACACTTTGAATACTATGTCAAGGTAACTCACCTTCACCTTGAGAGTACTCTGCTGGTGTCCTTCCGTATTTTCTCTCTCAATTTCATTACCTTTCATTTTGGGCATTTGGAACCTGAAGAAAGAAAAATACAGACGATGATGATCAAGACATGAATCACTGTTAACTGCTCCTGGCTTCTAGGAGTTCTCTGTCTGTCATTCAAATAAAAAACCGCAGTAAACAAATCTGACATTTTAGAGTGACCCTCCCCCAGGTGTGAGAAACTTGCTGCTTGCTCGAGCAACCGGGCTGTGTTTGTACATCACGTGCAGCACCGCAGGAGCAGGCAGAGGAGAAATCCAAACACGGGCAAGAACAGCTGAACTACCGCAGTGTTGTGCTCCCAGGTAGTGAACAGCTTTACAGCACGTCACCGTTCCTGCTCCCGGTAGCGTGGAGTGGCATCCTATCACAAATGCTGGGAAAGGGGATTCACCCTATTAGTTAGTGTTGCTGCAGGGACAGATCTGTAATAATTTGACAAGGAAGGACCGTTTTCAACAAAACAGCCCAAAGCCCTTACTGAAAATGTGGCAAAAAAAAGGCAAGACAGACATGAACTTCACACTAAGGAAAGCACGTATGCATGAAAGATGATCACGTCTACTGAAGAGTGCCTTTAAAAGAGCAGAGATCATGCAACTTCACAACAATGATGGGAAAACATCATTCCACGTTTTCAGGATACGTAATAAAACGATACCACCAACTTCTATCATTCAATCCAACATTTAAGCTGAAACACTGGCAAGGCCTAGAGGTGGTAGCGTCTCTCTTTCACTTGCTTCCTACCACCACTTAGGAACTCATCTGCTTTGAAAATGAGTAAGCAGGACCTGCCTGTAGAGCACTTCATCCCATCCTAACAGCTTCACCAGTTTGGGTAACGGAAGGCGGTCTGCTGCCAGCTCAGGGGAGGGAGCCAGGCAGGGCAGGAGTACAGACTATACAGAGCAGGGATCTGTGGAAGTACTGAGATACAAATTTTACTGTGATTTTGACATGAAGCGTTTTTAAAATCGCAACACCTCCACGGTAACAATACAACAGCCATCACAAATTCTCCTCAATATTTACTGGGAAAGTGCACTGAAAAGAATTTAGGAACTGTGCCTCAAACTGCTGAGGATTCAGGTGAAATTTTATCCTTACATTTCAGGAGATTTAAAATGCCACTTCCTAGTAAAATCTTATGTCAAGAATACCAACCAACTGCTTGCTTTAATACAGAATTTCAGTTACCGGGGAAACACAGTTGTAGGAAAAAGAAGAGGAAAAAAAAAAGGTTCTACCCGAGTCATCTTTTCTGTTGGATGTATACACAAGATACGTATATAAAAAGATGCTAAATTACTCAAACAACATACACGAAGTAAGAGCACTGCATATAATACCACTTCCTCTCAGGTTTCTCTTTGTCTAGCAGGCACATTCCTTTATTTTCCCTATTTATTTCCCTTCCCTAACGCCAACTTCTATGTCATTTCCTCCACAGCCCCAATGTCACACCTGCAACACACTGCACAGCCTTTTCTTGTTGACTCCTTCCTCCTCCTTCCATCCACCACAATATCACTTTTTTTTTTTAAAACCACCAGAGCCCTCCTAACATCTTCAACCCCCTCTGCCCATTCACCATCCAGCTTGGACAGCGACAAGAAGCTTCGACATCCGCAGCTATACAGAAAGACGTCAATTCTGGAGGAAGGAGCAGAAGCACTGGTGGGACTTTCGAACTACAGAAGAATACCTAAGTCCAGCCCCAGTCATAAACATGTAAGCAGTGCCGGACAGAACCAGCAAAGGGCCAAGTAGAAGCACACACTCTCCCAGCGGTATAAGCTCCTGAATTTTAAAACCACTGCTCAAGCAAAAAGTCTGACAAACTTGTTTTTCTAAGCTGTCTGGAGTTTAACAACATATAGGTAATAATCCATTAACCTTAACACTGTGTGGGTTAAGTCTCAAGGCTTTTCCTCTCTTTGACAGACCTTGTTTCCACAGTCCGTCTTCTTAGCCAGGGTTCACTGTCCGTACGCTGCCAAGAGAAGAAGAGACAAACAATTAATATAAAGAAAGAAACGTTCAAAATGCTAATGCAATATGCCAACCAAAGAAAAGTGATAACTCATCTTAAGACTTCACATCGGACAAGGCTGCCTGTAACCATCCCGCTAAGTTTAACAACTC